GCGCGTAACGCATATCTTGCCCCACGCGCAAATGGCGCCGTCTGTGGCAGAACGCGCGTCTGTATACGCACTGCCGATCTAGTATAGACTGGCAATGAGGTCACTAGTGCACGTCTATGCGCCCCGAGGGACTGTTAGTGACCAAAAGAGGGTCCTATTTCCCGAGGGCGAATGACCCTATTCTGGTCACTCACAGGCCTGAGGGGGCCAGAGACGTGCACTAGTGACCGAATTATGCTAGTCCATACCCCGAAACCATAACCCCAAACATCAAGCCCGAAACTCCGAACCGACCGTAAACCCGAAACTCTCTCTTCATATTTCTTACTGTTTCTACTGTAATTCCACAAGAATGATTACTTAAATGAAAGACAACTTATCAATCTATTGCATACTTTTACAGAATGCTGGCCTTCAATCCGATCAATAAAATCGATGATAAAGTGTTTTCAAACACGCAGCTGGTGGAATTGTGAGTAAATGAGACATTTATTATTTTTTTTACTTTAGTTTCGGCCTACGTAGAAATTTTCTCCCAAAAATTGTTTGTACTTTTTGTTCCCCATTTTGTAAATTGTATTTATTATTTGTTGTAACAGTTATCTAATTCCATTTCACAATGTATGTGTCACAACTGCTGATCACTTTGTTCACAGATTATTTTTATGCATTACATATTAGGACGCATTCAGTTGTTCATGACCTCCCACCCCCACCAAAATGAAATAAAGCAGAGGTTTCCGTTTGTCTTTTTAACAAACGCAGGGTAATAGGGCGTGGAACAATTTTATTTGATGTTGTTTAACTCAGTTGTTTGTTTGTTTGTTCGTTTGTTTGTTTTAAGCAAAAATTGGGACAGTATGAAATTCCAACTTTCTTTCAGTGTCATTATTTCGGGTTGTGTACCCCCATCACCCATTATCATTTTTCCCGCCCCGACAAAATCGGGTCCTTTAACCTTATCTATAACAAAACTGCTAATATCACAGTTTTTAACTGCTTTACATTCCAACTTAAGTTCGGTGTCACATGTGACCCAGCAGGGGCGGATCAGGATTTTTTGCAGGGGGGGGGGTCGTCAGTGAATGTTTGCTGAAGTTTCACGTCGCACTGGAATGGGTTCGGTTTGTCCCTTCCGAACAAAAGATGTCCACATAAACCAAGCTTCAGATTCGTTATTCCCCTCTCAGCTAAACAGGTTAGAGACATTTTGGGGTTAGGTTAAATGTAAAAAATGTGGGTTGAAGAGAGTAAAACGATTTTTTTTTACTTCACGAAAACAAACTAATGTCCACACAAGGTATGTAACGTAAACATGGATGTACGTATGTCAGACATTCAAACGTTTGTTACTTATTGAATTTCGTTGCAGACTCTTATTCAACAACAATTTGTCATCGCTTGGAGACCACCCATTTACTACACAATCTAAGTCACTTCACACCGTGTAAGTCCGCCTATGCATCTTTCGGATTCCGCTCATAAGTCCGAAGCCTCATAGGTCCGACGCCTCACCAGTCCGAAATTTCGGACTTATGAGGCGTCGGACTTTGAGGCGTCGGATTTTGAGGCGTCGGACTTATTAGGCGTCGGACTTATGAGGCATACAATGTATTCATTCCGCCTCATAGTTCCGACGCCGCAAAAGTCCGACGCCCCATAGCTCCGACGCCTCATAAGTCCGACACAGCGTTTGTCCATTGTCGGACTTATGAGGAACTATGAGGAGGAATTTATGCCTCAAAAGTCCGACGCCTCATAAGTTTCGGACTTATGAGGCGTCGGACTTATGATACGGGCCCTATATCTAACCTAATCTGATTCGATATCCGATCGATCCAATCCGATCCGATCCGATCCAATTCGATCCAATCTGATCCGATCCGATTTGATTCAATCCGATTCAATTCGATCCGATCTAATCTAATCTAATCTATTTATTTATTTAGGTATATAATCTGTTTTATTACTTTTACCCAGCGTATTCCCAAACACTGTTGGGACCTGATGTACATTACAAATGACTACACACATCGTATATATACAATAAAATGAAAGCACATGGATGGGATTAATGCATATAATGTTAAGCAGCTATTATTAAATCTATTACAACTCAGGTTTAGTGTGTACTAAGAAAAATCGCCAAAAGGCTATACTACAAGGCAAATTAAGTACAAAAAAAGATGTGTATAAATATATTTGTAAATAAAAAAAAGACTTGAGAAGGTTGTGACGTTTTTGCTAGTTCATTGATTGATTACACATTTATTTGGCCAGTTTTACAGAAGTAGGCCTATATAGCAAGAATATGGAAACTACTAATAAAATGACCGTTTCGAATGTTTTCTGCCAAATGATTAGATTAAGTTCATTCGCCATAATTCTGTGAGAAACAATAGACCCACTACGTACATTTTGAAAGCAAATTGATTTTACCAGCATAGATTCAACTTTAGGGGAAGGAGACAGATATTTTCCTTCAGAAAGTAAAAAGACGCTTTCAAAAGTGCTTGCGTATATAACATGTATTTTGTGATCGAAGACACCTGGTACTTGTTAAAGCAAATTTAGGTATTTAAAGTTGTAATATACTTTGCTTAACGATTACTTCAATGATACACATTTGTAAAAACATTTTTTTTCTTCAGATTTCTAAACCTCAACGACTTTGATGTCTTCTCCGATTCTGTCTGGCAAGATTTAGGACCAAATTGCACCGTGTAAGTGCATTGACGAGGCCACAAATATTTACAAAGCACTGCGCTATAGCTGGCGCCCTGTACATGTATCGTGCTTTACATCCGACAACGGTGCTTTTATCTCCAACACAAATGGTCAATTGATTATGAATATTCAGCTAGTTTATTCATAAGAAAATAACAATGACGTCACACTATTTGTATCACTGAGTCACGCATGAACATTAAAACATTTCAAAGAACGGCTCTAGTCGAGCCGCCACAGTTGCCTAGTGGATAATGGAATAAACCATCAATCGCACGATCTGTGGTTCGAGCCCATGTCCGTTTTCATCAAATATTTGTTGTGGGCTTGGATAAGTTTAACTGAAGGGAAAACGTAAGTGTCTTCCATCCACACAGCGTGATAAATATTCAAGTTAGGTTGCATAATGTTTGGTTACATTTATCTAACCGTTGGTCACCAAAGGGGCGGATGGGGGGGGGCGTTTGGGCGCGCGCCTCCCTCTTTTCCTCCTAAAGAAAAAGCCAAATATAGAGAGGGAGAGAGAAACAAAATTAAAAGGGTAGTTCACGTCAGAGCGTAGCCTGCTAGGATATGTTGCACGTACGACATAACAATACGACATAACTATAATTATTGATTGGTTCTTTCATACTTGTACTAAAATTAAAAAACGACGGGACCAAGATCTGCGACGAGGCAGCGCGCACGCGCGACGAGACGGGGAGGGCGCGGGGAGACAAAAAGGGCGCGCGCGACGACACAAAAAGGGCAGCGACGAGCGGGACCTATGCTGTAAAATAGGCTGTACATTACATAAAAATGCACCCAGGGTCCCGGACCTCTATAGCAGGGCGGCGGGCCGGACCTAGTGAGGCAGAATAATGCCTCATATAAGTCCGACGCCTCATAAGTCCGAAATATGAGGCGTCGGACCTGTGAGGCGTCAGACTTATGACACGGCCCCTTTTTTTCGTCCCCGAATAAATATTGTAGCCTACAGTTTGAATTTATAGCTCAGGATAGCTGATTTATTGACTCCAAACTCGAAAATGACGTTTAAACGATGATCTTTTGCTCAGAAAAAAAGTGGTTAAAGTGGTCGGATATTGCATGAGATCGCACCACAGAGCGTCTATAGAACTGAAGAATCCAAAAGGACAGTAGAGCTTTCAATTCGACGTTAGATTTACTTTCAATTGCATGATGCCCTCCCCCCCCCCTTGCCCTCGGCGAACGCGCCACAACTTGCCTTCAAATTGTATGCTTGTTACATTTAAAGTCCCCCCCCCCCCACCGTTGTGGAAAATCCTGGATCCGTCCCTGTGCTAGGTGAACAGCCCAACAGTTGTTTAAAAGTTGGTCAAAAGAAATGAACCAATTTTACCCAACCTTGGGTAAAATGTGCCCAACATTGGTCAAAATTGAAGAAAAAAATACACAATGTTGGTTAAAATTGTAACCATTTTTTTTAACACCAGATTTTAACCAGTGTTTTGAGCGTGCAAAGAATGGCTGTCGTTCGTACCAAAACGTCTTCCTATTATCTCCATATACACAGGATATTAGAAAACACACTCAAAAAGGTGCCGTACACAAGATCGGACCTAAATATGTAAGTATTTAGCAAAGCACATTATTCCCCAAGTAAGCGTGAAAATCCGATGCCCATTTTTAAGCTCTGGTAGGAGCTTCCACATATCACTTGATGGTCAGTCGGTCGGTCTGTCTGTCTGTCCCAGAACATTGACCAACAATATTTGACATAAAATAATTGACTAATTTACCAAATATCATACAGTGGTCATAAATATAAATGAACTCTTGGCGACGGTTTTCGGAACACTGGTTTTGTTTCGATCGATGTGCATGCGCGGTTTTTTTTCTTCATAATGTCTGCCCCCCGAGAATTGACCAGAAAAAGCCTCCTAATTTTTCCCATAAAAATATAACTACCATATTAAAATTTTCAAAAACAAGCAATCAAAATAAATTTAATGCTTAACAACAATTGTTTGAAACAATTCGGAAATATGTTCATTAAAAGTTTGTAAATGGAGGCAAAATAATTATGTGCAGTAATGTTATAGTCACGTGTTATATTGCAAAGCGTGATTTTTGCGTGAGACGGCGGCCCAGGCTTGTATGCACAATCTCCGGTCAATGAAATCAGGAAATAACTACTAATCTAAAATCTCGCAGAGGTTGAGCCTGGTGGTGCTTGACTGCCTAATTGACATTTTGTTGGTCCTTTCAGTGAATTAGTTGGAAAAGGATACGTTATATCGATATTGATGACGGCTGGGGGATACGCCAGTCAAGCAATGAATCAATCTGGATTTAACTGCACAGCTCCTGATCTGTTGTCTGAGGAGGTGACATGTTCAGAGTGCCCTCAAGGTACATATGGAGGAGCTTTTGGCGGATGTAAAGCTTGCCCTCGAGGTATGTCTTTCAAAATTGATGTTAATTATACATCTGGTGAGTCTGACTCGATTCTCAATTTTTGGTGACTCGACTCGAGTACCTATGGGTAAATAACTCGACTCGACTCAGTGACTGCGAGCAAATGACTCGACTCGACTCGAGTCCCTAACCAAAAGACTCGACTCGAGCGAAGGCCAATAAGACTCGAGTCCCAAAATAAAAGCAAAACTTTGCGTTCAAATGACTTAGGTGCAAAGTATGTTCACGCCACTTTGTGAATACAACGTGTCACAGACTCCCACCTTGCGATTCTGGAACGCACAAAATACTATCTCGGAACCGGACTGAAACCCTTTCACCGTCGATCTTACGAATTCGTACGATATAAATATGCATTGCAAAACTCGACTTGAACTCGACACGATGATATGTGTTCCTTGTATTTCTTTGCTAAAAATTGAGGATTTTCCCACTTGATGTTTTTAGTAGAAGGTACTTATTTCAAAGGTAGTTGGCTTTCCGTAGCTGATGTGTTTGGGTGAAATATGAATATTTCGGATATTCAGTAGGATTTATTGGACGAAAACGATGAAGAATATGTCTGTCTGGAGCTGATTTTGTCAAGTCGCCCCCTGACCGAGTTGCCCCAGATTGTCTTATTTATTTACCTGTTTTAATATTTTTTTTTTAGAGTGGCTATAAGTGGCCTATGGCCTAATTGGTATATAGTTTTACGCACAATTTTCACAAATCCAAGACACGTATTTAATGTTTGTTTTCATTTTGAGGGTTTAGGCCCCCCCCCCCCCCAATTGATTTCTTTGTGCATACATGCATCGTGGGACCTATTGAATTATTCCAGCTGCTTTTTTTTTGTTGTATTTTTTGGTCTGCTGCTGGCTCCTAAAACCTCAAAATTAAATTAAAAAAAAAATTCTGGATTTCATGATTTGTGGGTCATGACCTTTTATCAAAGGAAAACAATGCTACACCCAAAGCCAAACCAGCCTTTTAGACCGAGGTTTCACTTCTTGTTTACTTTTAGTGATACAAGTTAATTTCTCTCTCGTCTTTATTTGTTATTATAGTGTTCAAATATTCGTAACTCGAATTGACTCATCTAAATATTTGACTCGACTCGACTCGACTCGACCTTCTTAAACTAATGACTCAGCTCGACTCGAGTCACTTCTGTAAGATGACTCGACATATCCGAATAGGGTGTACGCTATGAGGTTTTGGACATTACTTCTCTGAATACATGAGAAAAGAAATGAATTCGAAACAAATGAAATTTCGGACTTTATTTTGTTTTCGCTTTACAAATAAATCCTCCAAATCCGCAGGTTAGGAAAAAAGGGAAAACAAAATCGAAAAATCGTGGTTTCAGACTCACACCTTCCGATGTGAACGCCACGTCGCAACTCTCTCTATAATACGGCTCTGATCCATTCCATGTCGTGTAGCAGGAAAACATAATAAACCATTTGGGAGTTACAATTGAATATAATCTGGAACGCTGACTTAATCCAATGCTTTGCACGTTTTAACTAGGCATTCTCCCGACCAAAATGATAACTGTTACTATTTCACGTGATTCGGGCCAAGCCTTATGTACCTCCAAATACCTCCAAAGAACATCCTCATGGGAGTATAACTGGAGGATTGATGAGGGTGGTACGCTTCCTAGTGGGGTTTATTTGCTCTGCTGATGAAAGATTGGAAATTTGAAGTAGACGTTGCACAAACGGTGGAATGGGGTAATGTGTTCCAAATGTCAACTGACTCAGAAAAGGACTGTAGCATAATTCTTGTATTAACTGGGTTATGTAACATCAGTTGTCTGTTGTGACACCGTCTAGCTCTAGATGGTTTGGGTTTGCAGTATTCATCTTCATTGATGGCCAACTCGTTTCGGAGAATGTTGTACAATGTGATGAGGCGGGCGTGTTGTCTCATTTCCTCGATGGTGGACCACCCGAGATTATTGATCATGCTTGTGACACTTTCCCTTTTCTTCAAGTTAGCTGTGATGAACCTTGTTGCCCGTATCTGGACTTTCTCAAGCTTTTCTTGGTTCTTCAATGAACCAGGGTCCATGCTGCAACAGCATACTGGAGGTGGGGTCTGACAAATGTTTCGTATAAGTTCTCTTTGACATCCTTTGATGTTAAACTGACATTTCTGTTCATGAAATTCAGGATCTTGGTTGCTTTTTCAGCAGCGTATTGTGTTTGCATATCCCATTTCAAATTATTTTGTAGGTGGATGCCTAAATATTGTGTCGAAGCAACCGTCCAAAGACACCCCTGACAAGGTGTATGATGGATGACCATGGTCTCTTTTACTGGAGACTCGCATCACTTTTCATTTTGTTGGATTAAACTTCATACCCCAGGTGTTAGCTCATGACTCCAATTTATTTAAATCTGACAGGAACGCTTATTCGTCTGTTTCAGACTGGATGGTTCTGTACATCATGCAATCATCCGCAAAAAGACGGATTGTAGAGCTGGTGTCGACAGGCAGGTCATTTATGAACATGGTGAGATTTGGGGTCCCATGACTGTTCCTTGTGGGACACCGCTAAGGACAGGTTCCCACTCAGATTTTTGGCCATTCACGACGACGCGCTGATGTCTTGTAGTGAGCATCGCCTTAATCCATTCAGGGTTTATGTTATGAATGCCATAGTAGTTGAGTTTCAGCAAATGATGCCGATGTGGTACCACGTCGAATGCCTTACTAAAGTCCAGAACTGCAATGTCAGTTGCAATACCCATGTTGTGATTTGAAGCCAAGTCATGAATTGTTGTGAAGAGTTGTGTTTCTCAGGAACATCTTTCCTGAAGGCATGCTGACAATCTAGTAGGATGTCATGCTTACTCAGATGAGGCATTATTTGACTGTCGAGTATGCGTTCCAGTAGTTTACAGCTCACGGAGGTTAAGGACACCAGTCTATAATTTGCTGGATCATGTTTTGAACCTTTCTTGAAAATTGGCGAAATGTTGGCACAACGCCAATCCGGTAAATAAATTCAACTTTGTTTACTGGTTGTTGGAAGATGAAAGTGATCATTAGTAATAATAATAATAATAATATCTAATTCTTGTATAGCGCCAAATCCGTCAAAATTGACGCTCAAGGCGCTTCACAGAAATAAAAATGAACAGGTTAAAATTTAAGAAGTGTTAGTGTTAACTCATCCGCAGCCAGTTTGAGTGCCTTATTTGGGATGTTATTTGTTAGTGTTGATATTTTCAGCAGTGTCCAGACCCCGGCTGAGTCAATCACAACATCAGGCAGGTCAGTGTATGGGCTAGGTAGTATTTGAGGTACTTCTCCGTCATCTCTGGTGAAGACACTTTGAAATTGATTACCGAGAGCTGTTACCTTGTCGAGGTCATCTGATATGGTTTTGTTGTCTACTTGACGAGCTGGAATGCCAATGTTATCTTTCCTGTTTGACTTGATATATTTCCAAAAACGCTTTGGGAGACTTGTGCTTGCCGCTTATTTCTTTGGATGGGACATGCTTGTTAATCAGTTCTAAGATACCGTCTCTGAACTTACACCAGTTCTCATCCACAGACCTTGACTCTGGTGATGAATTCAAGAAATCTTGTGTTAGCTGTTCAAAAGCCTTACCCTATGTTGTGTTGACCTTACCCCATTTGTGGATCACTCTGGACTGTTTCTTGGGTAACGACGCTGTAACGGAACAAGTGGCTATAACAATGGCATGATCAGCCATTCTTGGACGTAGTACAACCGAGTTAAATAAGCTTGGCCGGCTTGTTAGGCATAAATCTAAGATGTTTTGTGTTCCATTTTGGTCAATTCTAGTTGGGAACGTGACTAGTTGCTCAAGGTTGAAGTCCGCTGTCAACTGCACGATAGATTCTTGAAGCTCGCCATGCGGTCCTCGGTCTTCTGCCTATGCCATGTTCGGTATAAAGTCCCCACAAAGAATGATATAAGGTTTTTTTGTGTCAGCATATATCATTCTGTAGGCTACAAACAAGGTTTTCAAGATCATTCCTTATTCTATGAGGCCTGTTGTAAAAGCCAATGTAGACCTTTACATCTCCAAGAATGATTTGACACCAGATGAGTTCAGTGTTTCCATCGTGTACTAAGTCAGGTCTCTCAATACAAGGCAAGTTTTCACTTATTCCAATGAGCACTCTCCCACCATGCGTACATGTACGTCTGTCTTTCCTAAATACCTGAAAACGAGCCGGGAATATTCTGAAATCATCATCTAACCATGATTCGTATCCTATCATGATGTCTGGTGATTCAGTTGTATCAATAGCAGCTATATCAGCAGCCTTTCCCTTAGCACTTTGGACATTGACAATGGCTTTCTTCAGCTTTGGCTGTTGGATACTTCGCTTGTGGACCCTTCCCTTCTTCCAATTAGGACTAGATGTAGCTTTGGGTTTCTCCCACAGCGATGTTCTCCCACATCGCGGTGTTCACCCTGCTGAATCCTTGAGTCATTCAGATTGGTTGATGTAGGTGAACTGAACTCGAAGCTGTTTGACAGATTTGAGTTGAAGCAAGATGTTCATAATCTCACAACATGGGCATCCCCCTCCCCTCATCAAGTGCACCCTCACTTGATGCTAGCAACCCTCTAGATCCGGCATGGTCTGGTGTCTTTGTGCCATTCTTACCCATTGTAATCAATGTATTGGTGCTGAGCGTCAATTACGTAACTATGCAAGACCTTGCCCCGAATTATGTGAGTCTTATCTATACTTTCATTTTCACAAAATGCACAGCAAAACCCTTCTTTTGATTCGGCGATAGTATTCAAAGCACAGGAGACACGAGGTCACCGTTTATTGACTGATTGAGGGACTTGCACATCAGTACATTTGAAAAGTTAAATATAACTTGATAATCTGTGCGAATTGCACCTGCAACCTCAACATTGTGCAACAGCAGTTGGTACAATTTGATTACCAAAAACCTCATTTTGAAACATTCCTCTGTAGAACTTGAAACTATGACTGACTACCTTTTATACAAAACATCTGATGCTCTGTAAAAAAAATAATTATGATTACAAGAATGTTCACTTAATATTCCAGTGCGTCATTGATGTAATATTTTTAACAGTTGTACTTAAACGCTTCATCTGAGAAGTCGATGCCCGGGCAAAAAAAAAAAAAACATAGATAAAAGTTTAAAATAGTCTGAAAAACCTCCCTTCAAAAACATTCAGACTTTCCTCGGCGAGGGTGTTGGGCTTCACCCTAAACATATTTAAGATCAAAAATCTTAATTTTCCACAATCTCGAAACGCGGGAAATGTATATTAGCAACAGTGTCTTTGGTCTGGAGGATTCAAAGTATAAATGTTCCAAGCATTCTGAGCAAGTCAGTATAGCAGATGTTTTTCAAATGTAAATTCCAAACGTTATAGGTTACTCGTCAGTGGCTTATTCGCAGCCGGGCTATTTAAGGAATACTTTGACTAGACCGCCGCCGTTTGGACTAGCATTTGGCTAGCAGGCTACCACTAAAATCGAACCCTGTTACGGGTAAATGGTCCTAAGTACCTTTATTTTTATTGACACTTTTTAACTTGTTACCTTGGAATGTCATCAAAATATAAGTATTATAATTAATTTAAAATATAATATTGAAAACAAGATTGAACAAAACCCAACACATTTGAACCGTCACCAAATACTTCTCGAATATGACTTTAATCAAGATACGTTGAGTGAACAAAATGCTTATCAAAAAAAAATATAAACAAAGTGGGGATTCAGGAATAAATTGCAATTCTTTTTTTACCTAATTTTTTTCCCAGGAGGATTTTATCAAAACCAAACCGGAGCAGTCGTGAAGAGAGACGCTGAAATGAATTGCGAGCAATGTAACAACGGTACTTACGTCCCCCTAGAAAATGTACCAGGGAAAACTATCGGTGATTGCGCAGTATGTCCAACAGGCACCAATAAGAGTCTTCATGCAGGATACCGAGCATGTCCCTGTGCGTCCAATCACTACCGTAAACACAGGTTCGGTCAATGTTTTCCGTGTCCCAAAAAAGGAATCAACTGTACGGGAGAATATCAGCATCTTCTGCCAGGGTTCTGGTGGACATGGGACTGGGGTCCAGCTGAAAACTATCAGTCCTACAAGAAATTTGTCAAAAATTTATTCACCTGCAATGATAGCTATGACAGGCACACTGAAAGGTTTGATGGAATGTTACCAAATGTTCATAAATGTCCTACCTCCGAATCGTGTAAGAATCTTGCAGCTGGAATAAACGCATCGTGTGATGATGGTCATGCCGGTTTCCTGTGTACACAATGTCAAGCAGGCAGTTATGCTTGGCTGGATAAATGCTTTGAATGTCCAGGGATTTGGGCGTTGATACTGGAAGTCTTGGCAGCTCTTGTCATCCTTGCAGTTTTGCTCATGATTGTCTTACTAGAACTCAGACGACACAAACGAAGCGGTCGATCACTCATTAGCGTTCTGTTCTCTCGGTTTAAAATCCTACTTGGCTTTTATCAAATCATGGGTGAGATATTCGAAGTGATGAATGAACTTTCCTGGCCGAAGACACTAGTAGAACTTGGTTCCTTCTTGCAATTATTGGAGGCCAATTTGATGCAGGTGATTGTCAGTCCTCGATGTTACTTTCCCGATTTCACCTATCCCAATGTTTACATCGCATTCATTGCTGGTGCGTCGTTCTCGGTTACTGTGATATTGTCAGGATTGGGCATTTATGGTTTTAGGCAATTCCATCTGCGGGTGAAGAGTGCACCGGATGAGGTTCGCAAACATACGCTGGCTAAAACAAATGAAAGAATTCTCTTGGCTGTTGTCATTCTGTTGTTTGTTGCATACCCAAGCTTATCAGCTGTCATCATTAGCTTACTGCCTTCGGGATGTGTCACATTCTCATTGAATGAAAATGAAAATGTTACCGTTACTCTGCTCAGATCCGACTACTCCGTTGACTGTAACAGTAGTCAACATGTTGCATTTAACTACGCTGCCGAGGTTTCCGTGTCTTATGTTGTTGGTTTCCCGACTGTATTACTTATCATGTTATGGTTACATCGTCGTAGACAAGCATCGAAGAAAAACGGTCATCAGCTTGAAACTGCTGATATCCAGGCACTCAGTCACGTTGACCAGCAGTCTTTACTTGATACTGACGACACGGGCTCGTCTTGTAGTTACCATACTGCCAGTCATGCAGATCAGACTCATTCTAGTGATTCACTACATACGGAAGATGAAGAAATTGCACATATCGGTGATTCTCTTGAACGACTTAGCTCCGAATTACCTCTTGAAGAATCAATCGAAGTAAGCTCAGAAAGCATTACCTGGGTGAGTTTCCTGGACGAGAACTACAAGGAGCAATATTGGTATTGGGAGATTGTGGAACTAGCTCGCAAAGTCCTCCAAGTCCTGTTCGTTCTGTTATTCGGTGCGGATGATCAATTCATTCTCTTTGCGACCATTATCGTATCTGTTGCCTTTCTAATCGCCCACGCTTACTTGAAGCCAATGAAGGATGCCGCAGAGCACCGTATTCAGATGTGGTCCTTGACTACCATCTTTTTGAATCTACTGGCGGCATCCTTGCTTGTATTACCCAGCGAAGATGGCCATACCGATGACAGTGATGCAAGGAGGGAATTTCTGGCAGTATTTCTTGTCCTGCTTAACATCAGCATCTTTGTAATCGTGGCAGGTATGTATTTTGATTTTCTATCGCGCGACATAGTTGCGGTTTGCAAAAGTCTTTTGGTCTTTGTCATTTACAATAAGTTAACAACTTTCAAATGAAGCAGCTTTCCTAAACACATTTTTTGGCTAAATTGGTAGGTACTTTCTATAGTAACTTATGACATTTTTGATTTACTCTTCTTTTTTTTCTTCACTAAACTTGCAGCCGTATTATAGTGGCCCACACAAATATTTGTCTTAAAAATCCGACTGTTTGATCAATTTGATCTTCCCCCTCGTGAGCATATCTGTTTATTATTTGGTTTGTGTTCACATATTTATTTATTTTAGTGAGTTCAATCCACGTGTGTCTGAAGGTTCTATCCCAAACGGCGTGTTGTAGCTACACTGCAGCATGTTTCCGTCACATATGTCGTTGTCTTGCACCAAGCCATCGTCGCTCACAGGAGGAACATCGCGACGATACTGAGCCAACGACAACTCTGATAAGTGGAGTACCAATTGAAGATCGGAGAAACAATAACGAGTGCCGTGCTGTCTAGGAATTGCGTTGTATTTTCCCCTCCAACATCGAAAAAATGATGAATTGAGAATAACTAGGATGTGAAGTATGGTCAAGAGTGTTTGATGGCCGTGCTTATAAGTGGATAATAATAATGATGATGATGATGATGATGATGATGATGATGATGATGATGATGATGGGGGGGATGATGGGGATGATGGGGATGATGATGAACAGGTGACGTGCTCCTATCTGCAAACAGGGGGGGGGAGGGCTTTTTTGTTGTTTGGGAAAAGTTCGCTTTGAATTGGACGGATAACGATTATGAGCTTTACTTTTTTTGTTTACGGCAATTTGGTCTGGGCTGAATTCATTAAGTGTATGCAGACAAAATAATTCTGTACAAATGTAGAATAAATTTGTAGCATTGACAAAGGTGGAAACCTTGCATCAGAAGAAATAGTTAAATGACTTACGGAATAACCCTTTATTACTTTATATTACATATGCATGTATTGGTTTAGAAAATATTTGTTTTCAAAATTGTTTGTATAGTACAAACTTCGTGGCTTCTCTGAATGTCTTTATCTATCTAGTTGTAATACTTTAACAGCTAAAATGTTTCTTTGTTTACCAGGCAGCTCTGTTTCTAATTATTATATAAACTTAAAATGTCAAACTTTAATCTTTTACGCAGAATTGTCGACTAGTTTTGTATAACCAGTGGTTTTTGTAGCTCAAATTTCATGGTACTAAATAGTGAATTTTAAGAGCAAAATCGGGACGCTGATAAAAACAAAACTGAGACGGTGAAAATGGGCTCAATCGGGATGAAAAAATATATATTGCGACAGGCAAACAAAAAGCCTGGCTACACGCCTGGTATTCATAACCTTTTTGTCATAATCTAGTTTGAATACTAATAGATAAAAGGGTAAAATGTCAACTAGTAATAGGAGAAGTGTCTAATGTTCCTTTGTGTACAGGGTAGGTCTATTTTTAATTAATTTTTTTTAATTTCAAATACTTAATGGAGAAAACACTAATCTTGTACACACAGTTTTCGATTTGTGTTTTGCAGTGTTTTTTTGTAGCACAAATTAAAGAGTGCTAAATAGTGGGTAAAAACGCACACAAGCTTAAAAAGACCTTCATATTTAAGATCTTACCTTGGGTTAAGTTTATGGATGATTAACGTATTGATGAACAAATGACGCCTCCATAGGAAAGAAAACAAAGAAAGAAAACAAGAACATACGGTTTGGTAACAGTTTTGTATTTACTCAATCAATCAGGTGCCGTCTTCTCGCAGAAGGTTGGCTTGCAATGGATTTCCATCTGTCTCTGTCCTGAGATGCCCTTGCACATTCCATGTAGCTAAGGCCAGTCCAGTCTCTCACATTATCAAACCACGATGTTCTTCTTCTTCCTCTCGGTCTTTCCCCCTCTATTTTGCCTTCCAAAAGAGTCTTCTGCAGCATTTGGTTTCTCATCATGTGTCCAAAGTAGTTTGTCTTCCTGGATTTTACTGTTTTTATGAGAAATTTCTTTGTCAGTGCTATTTGAAGGACTTGTTGGTTGGTCATTTTAACTATCCAGGGGATGCTCAGCATTCTTCTGTATGTCCACATTTCGAATGCTTCGAGTCGGTTGATTGAATCTTTCGTCAATGTCCATGTTTCTGCTCCATATAGTACTGTTGACCAGATGTAGCATTTGATTAGTCTTAGCCGTGTTTTGATGTTGATGTTTCTTGATGTGAAGATGTGTTTCCTTTTATTGAAGACAGATTTGCCAATAGCTATCCTTCGTTTGATTTCATCTTGGCATCGCCCATCTTCCGTTATCATTTGTCCTAAGTAGATGAAGGAGTCGACCTGTTCCAGTTCTTTCCCGTCAACCTGGATGCTGGTTTTAGACTTCCTCTTACTGATGACCATTGTTTTTGTCTTCTTGACGTTCATTTTAAGCCCGTGTTTTTCGCTTTCTTCTTTGATTTTGTCCACAATGTTTTGTAGATCCCTTTCTGTTTTTGCCATGAGGACTGTGTCATCTGCATATCTTAGGTTATTCACATTGAATCCTCCCACATTAAAGGGAATGTACATCATTTGCAGTTGTTGTAATTATCAGAACTGGGTATATTCAGGGATTACCATGTTATACAACATATCATTAAACTGACCTATTGAAATGTTTGCGTTCTCAGATGTCCACAAAAAAGGAGAAAAAACTGTGGTCGGTTTCAACCGTCGCGCAGTCCTTGTCGACTGCATGTATGCTTTTGAAATGCTACTCACTGTATTTGTTATAGCGCCCTCTTGCGAAATAAGCCCGTACCGTTTGTAAATGGGACTGTTGTCAGTTGGCCCACTTGGCCACAGCAGGCCCTGTGTGGCGCGATCTTCATGTAATATGATAAGGCAGTACATGTGTATATTATGCAGCATGCTAGGCCGGCCGGCTGGCACAATCAATGGGCCTCATTATAATAATTTTGAGTGGGCAAGTGCCGCTGTAGCAGTACTGGCTGTAGGCTAGGCTGGGTGGGGGATCCGGCTGGGTGTACATGTATATGCTGTATGTACAATGTACATGTACGTGTACAGCTTTGAGCCGGCGTCTAGTACTATGCCATCTAGTCGGTCGTACGGCGTTATCGCTTTCGCGACATGGCGCGGCCAGCGATTCGGGATGGAGAGCTAAATAAAGGGAAACTGAATAAAAGAAAGTGTATTGAATATAGATGGCTTTCCGTGCTGTAGTCTTATGGGTAATTCGTCTTATGCAGTTCTTTGATGATATCCTGGGTTCCTTCTCGTGCATGCCAGTCACAACACGGCCATTGTAATAATGTTGTTGGGCTTGTTGCTTTTCCGTTCTCCAACTCACATGAAGTACAAATCACGTGATTTATCATACCCAGCACAAAATATAAGTCGACTTGTTGGCTGTAAAGCACGAAAGGCGTGATAAGTGTCAACATAGTAGACCAGCCAAATTGTGTCACTTTTCTGGACATGTTATCACTGTCTGAAGGCTGATTCAAATTTCAAGGGAAAGAATCATGTCATAAATACGGAACTCTTTCCCCCTGTCCAACAATATCTGCTCGTGAGCTACAGTTCGACCTGACAAATTGCCATTTTATTTTTGTACATTGAGAAGTGCAATAGTCAAGGCTTTTTTGTACTTGGAGGGTCGAAGTTACTCATCGGACTACATGTGAGCACAATGTATGGACGATTTGGACTGTAAGACCATCCCTTATGCATGCCAGGTCGCACAATGATGAGCAGATAGCGTCACGCTCAATTCAAGAAATGTTGACAGTCGCCACGATTTTTTTTGCGAAACTTTGCTAGTTTGCTCTATGAAAAAAAAACATGCCGTTGTCGTGTTTTTCAGTAAATGTTCGAAATTTGAGAATGCGCGGAGGTGCGAGTGTCAAGATGTATCGAAGTGCAGTACGTGCATGCCATAACTAAAAAAGAATAATGTCACGAATTTTCATTTTTCTCGAATCACCTAATTGCCAAAACTAACGCATGAATAGGCGAAATAAAAATAAATGTTACCGTCCCGCTTTTGTGAAAAAAAGGAAGCGTGGGTGCACTTTTTAACCTCAAAATGGCCGCCCAACGGTCTATTTTTCAAGACGGCCGTCAGGTTTTTTGTATGGCCGCAATTTCACTCGGGAAAATGAAATACCAGCTTTATACCGGCTAGGATGCAACAGATAAGCCAAAATGATGTCACTGTTGAAAATGTATTATTTATTTCCGGTAAAAAAAAAAGGGAGGCGTACTCCAAAAAAGCTAGGAAGCGGGCGGGGACGCTAAACATTTTTGTCCTTTATAATTTAGCCTTATGTTATATATATACATGTACTTTTGTTTATTACTGAAAAACTACCCTTGGAATACATGCAACAAATAATAATAATTGGGGATGCCGAAGTGTTTGGTGGTCAATTCATGTACACCCAGTGTAATTGTTCTAACGAAAACATTTTTTTTCCTCTCTGAATTGGGAGAAACCATGGAGGAAAATGTGACATGCATGTACAAACAACGAAAGTCCATATGCATTTGAGGTTACATTTTCCAATCCGGCAACCATTCATTATCGTGAAGTGAAATAAACAATGCCCATCCACAGAGGTAATTACATTATCGGCGGTATGGACTGACCATCTGTGTGGCCCCCTAGGGGTCCTTGCTCTATAGTTTATTCTTGGCAAGTATGTTTTAGCAGGATGGATACCCTCAACACAAACCAAACGTGGTCAAGACTGCAAGCGCGATTCATTGAACCTTGGAGCTATAAGATTGAACACGGCATGCAACAGTGAAGAAAGAAATCCTTTTCTCTTTTTGGAATTTCTCTCTTGATGCAAAATGTCAAGTTTATCGGACTCCGACAATCAACCTGTCTCTGATGTCCCCGGACAACAGGTATAATTTAGATTTTTCAATTTAGCGTAAAGTTGCATCCAACTTAGGCATAGCACGTAGGAAGGAAAAGATTAGAACAAACCATTTTACGTTTCCATGCGTAGTTGTGCAAGGAAGGCCACGGGAAACTTCCAATCATTGACACATCTATTTGCATTTGAAACAATGTGAAGTTGTAGTGGCAAATGGGATTTGCGGCTGACTACTACATGTATATGCCTGGGTGCCTAGTACGTGCGGGCTAGTTTGGGTGGACATTTTGTTTATGATCATGAATAGGCCTAGCTAGCTAGCTATGGATAGTTGATAATTTTGACGGCCACATTTCGAACTTTACAATGCAATTGAAAATATAAATGTCTATACATTCGTTTACCCCACTTGCCTCACTGGTCATAGTCATAGCAATAACCAACCCACTCGGCCGTCGCAGCCTCGTAGATGGAACGCAAACACTTTATACATGTACACATTCTTATTAGTCCATGTTACAAGCGCCACCGGGAATACGTCATACATGGACATTTTTTTTCTTATCTAAACCATTACATTTGTAAATGGGTCAATTGATTGTATCTACATGTACATGTATATATACCGAGTTTTATTTAGGGTATACATTGGTAAATCATTCCTTATGTACATGTATATTATTATCAGCCTGAAGATACTCCACCAAGAAGGGGAAGGGGAAGGGGCCGCAGAGGACGGGGCAGAACATCTGCAGGCAACAGAGGAGGAAGAGCAAGAGACAGGGGAACGGGAAGTCGAGGTGTAAGAACTAGAGGAGCTCGGGGGAGAGTCAGACGACGTGGCAGGGGAGCCGCTCTTCAACCTGCTGGGCAAGGCCAACAAGTGGTTGATTTACCGGATCAACGACGACAAAGGTTGAGGGTATGCAAACTTTATAAATTGTGTAAAATATTATACAAAGGTTTTCACAAAATTTGAATTGGATCTATACTCCGCCAATGTAGGCATACATTTATTCATTAGTATCGTACAAAAAAGTGAAAGACAAAGATGTAGCTCCGAGGGCTACATAAGTAAGAAAACCTCACTTGTTATTTTTCAGAAAGCAAATGAAGCCATATCTTTGCTATTCAGCAATAAACCCATTACAAATTACTCACAAATCTGACTATAAACCACTATCGAATGAAACATTTAGTATCTTACAAGACTATTTTTCTGGTCTGTTTTTAAAAAAAATCTCTCTTTTTCTGTCGGTAATTGGCAAGGATGACATTGGACGCCTTAACCTGGAAGAGGCACGGGACCTCCTGTTCCAGGCAGCAGAACGCAATCCAGGAATGCTGCTGGACATCTTGATGGTGCATCCACCCCCGCCGCCTGTACCTGACCAGCCACTGGAGTGGTGCACCTGCACTCACTGCAGGCAAATGCCAACTGATGAGGAATGCGTCTGCTGTGGCATGTCTGCTGAAAATTGCATCGCTAGGCACCCTGTAAGCACTGCTCATACCCATTATACTTAATGTCTAATTTATCATGGAGAAGTAAACAGGCAAAATTAGCAGGCCATTGACTGTTTATATAACATGTTCCCATTATTTTGACTAGCCATATGTCTCTGATGCGAAGACTGGTTAATAATCTTGTTCTTTATTTTTGCTTTTGATTTCAGATGATGGGCCAAATATTGGACCCGATGTCAATTGCGCTGCAAAGGGCCCTTTGGAGGGAAGTGCTAAATCCGGAGCAGCCAGCCAACCAGCAGCCAGGGAGGGAAAACAGAAGTAGCCGGCACACTGCATACCGGTGCTACATCCTGTGGCAATATAACCGCCTAGGGGCCGGTGTGAGGCGTGTCATTCCCAGCTGCGTGGTGCTTCGCATCAGAGCGGCGTACCCAGACCCCCACGGCCAGTACACTGGATTTAGAAGGAATCGTCTAGCCTGAATTTAGTCAAGACACACAGATGGGCAAAATTTGTCCCTAAGGCCAAAAAAAAAATTTCCGGTTTCTGGTATGGAGCTTGCCCAAAAAGTGGTGCAGCGACGCGGCTTTTCTTTTTTTTTACCTGTTTTTTTGTGCTTCAAATGCCGGCTGATGACTGCAAATGGTGCCCGACTAAACTTAGTGCAAATATATGGGAGTCCAGAGAGGCCACATAAAGCTTATTTTGATCATAACCCCATCTAAAAACATGTTAAAATTGTGCTGCAGCAGGATTCCAGTCAAACCAGTGAGTTTGGCGGTTTTGAGACGTCATCATTTATTGGAATTTTTTTTTTTCATTTTGCCGACGCGCATTGCTACAGCGACCCACGCGAATAGCAGAAACCGGAGACTTTTTTGGGGGGCCTAATCCCGACCTGTACAAGTACATGTACTGACATCAGACATCATTGTCAGACATGATCAGCCATGTATGTATCAAACATATATGCATTTTATAAGCAAATTTCGGTGTAGGTAACAGAGAGATTGTACATGTATACATTTAATCACAGAAACAAATCCCTTCATCAATTTTAAGCTTTGTGATGGTCTGTATTTGAGCAAAAAAATAAATTTCTTCGAGAACAACTAGTCCCTTGACCCTCACATTGGGTGTATCATCAGATAAGACGCAAGACATTTACTTTGTTTTTTTTAGGGGGGAGGGCAGGGGTAGGCTTTCACTTTTGAAATCTTTTTGCAAACTTACACGAACCTTTCTCCAAGTTTTATGGAAAGGGCAAGTTGGCAGTTTTTCCTTTGGAACTATTGCGGCAACTTACAATACCTCGGGGATGTAACCTTGTCTATCCGCCCGAAATATACCAAAACATTTTGCATTACTACATCTAATACAAGCTTCCGTTGCAGTACATGCACCTCGTAAGCTTATGCATAATACTTCCAGAGAAAGTTGTCAAACTCGTCAAAAGAATATTGTTCAACCTCACAAAAATTAACCACTTTTGGCAATACAGTAACTCCTAGAGTTTCTACAGCATTGTGGAATTGTTTTTTTTAAGTGGAGGAGATATCTTTAATGTACACGACAGTTGCACGATTGCTTTGTAAAGCGCATGCGTATTTACCATGTTGGTGAATGTGCACATGCTTTGTAAACAGTAAAAACAGCATTTAGGAGGTAAGGGTCATGGACCAGTGAGAGTTCGGCTCTCTTGAATTATGTATGAGGTATGGTAATAGTCCCCACACACACAAAAATATTACTTTATTCAAACTCCCCAAAACTGTCCTTTCCTATTGTACATTATGTATATCCTAGTTACTGTTGTTCGTTTTCTGGGACTCCAAATCTGCTGATGCCGCGTCTCTGCAGAATGGACGCAGTAGTAGGAGGTGCCTTGGGGGCCAGTCTTGGTGCAATGCGGCGTGGATCATCCATCCTCATGACTGGCCGGACGTTCAGGGGTTGATGGTCTTCAAAACGCATCTCCAAGATTGCTGCCATCATACCTGGTATGTAGGCATATGTCTTGTCCACGCGATCCTTCATGGCCACGTAGTCTTTGGAACGTTTGGACCATTTGGCGACATACCTGCATAAAAAAGGAAGTGGATTGGGAATGGGAAAGGGCATCATCATATATGTTGCCCCTACATGTAAAGTTAAATGTAATGGAGTTTGGCCGCCAGAATGCAAGAACCGGTTAAATGCAAGCAAAGTTCCGGGAATAATTTGTTGATACCAATATCTTGTTGGAAAATTACAAAATCACTCCAAGAAAGTTGCCGCTACGAATCACAGTTTATGAAGGGGAAGGAAAGTGGGATTTGTTGTCAGCAACAACACCCCACTCCAAAATGCTCTGCTAACAAAGAGCTTCCAAGACCACACTTTAAGCTGCTAACAAAGGGTTTATATCATGGAGCTGTAAGCTCTAAACACCATTGAACAAGGGCAAACAAATCCAACTGCAGGTTGTTTATAATGGATTAACTCCATGAGTCACAATGTTCACCTTAGTTGGTTTGAACTGTTGCATAGAATGTATGAAACAGAATGTATGTTTATCTTATACCTCCATCTATACAGAGCAAACCCAGTCTGCATTCATATATCCTATATTAAAATTTAAAAACTGTATAATTTTTACATTTTCTTTGAAATGTACCTTAGTGCAAGACTAGATGAACCTTGTGTGGGGGTCGATGTAAGAAGCTGCACTCCTGAGGGTCCTGGCAATTCTGATTGAGTGCTGGAATACAAACAAGAGTATAAAAATGTTGTCGTTCTGCTACTATAGCATGGTTAACAAAAAACACCAGAAATTATGTTTATCTTATAAAATATTCTGACTCCTTGCGTACGTATATATGTTAATGTCATAAAGAAATTTACCTTGTTATTTACCTTGTTCCTTCAAGTTCTTAATAATGACATCATTTTGGCCTATGTATTGCATCTAGCCCATATAAAGCTGGTATGTAATTTTGCGAGTCCAATGGTGGCAAAGAAAAAAGAGGCGGCATCTTGAAAATAACCCAGTCGGCTACTTAAATACGTGAACAAGTGAAATGGTCATCAACCCAGCGTCATAACAACACAGAACACGTCGGCAAATAATTTACAGTTTAAATTATTTCAAAATTAGGTTTTTTTAACGTGAAATGTACGACGACTTTGTCGAGTTTGTGTTTGCCGCCATTTTGTTTAAGAGAGATAGCCATACTACGCATGCATAAGTGTACAGTGGGCCATCAAAACAAGATTGGGGCTAACACAAATCGACAAATTTGTCGTACGTTTCCCGTTCAAAAAACAAATTTTTAAATAATTGTAACTTTATTTTATATGTTGAAGGCAAAGCTTACACAAAATTTGTTGATGACTGTTCACGCTTGTTGACGCCGCGCCAGCTGATGCTTGTTATAAACACGTACTTTAGTAGGACCATGGAGCATATAGCTAGCTCCATGGTAGGACCTATTGAAAAGACTGTTGCATGCAACTTGACGCTACTTCGGTGGTTGTGTACAAAGTCTATGGAAAGTTAACAACATTTTCTAAGTATTTCATATTACTGGAAATGTATATCAGTCCCAGAATCATGTTTTTTTTTTAAACTAGATCAATGCTGTATTTGCAAGAAAAGTCGTTTTGAACTTAAACAACAATTTTTGTCCACAATACAATTATACAATAGGCCTACAAAATGTAAAAAAAATATGAACGCCATCTGACATGTCAGAAGGTGTCCTAAATTCCACAATCCCACCAAAAAACAGTAGGGCCTAGTACTAGTACTGTAGTAGGCATAAGGCGGCATAAGCCTAGTACTATAGGTAGGCCTCGGCCTAGTTAAAAACCTGCGGCATCATCATGGGGGACATGGCATATTTATTTCAAACATTGCAGCAGATGATGGTGGTGGCTATAGTAAAAAACCAAAAAAAAAGCAGATTGAAATTTTACTTACTTTCGTGACTCGTGCGCTTCATAACTGTCCATGAGGAGCGTAGCCAGCGCATTTTTGTCGGCACATTCAAGCCGATCCTGCAGCGCGATCCATCGCCGACTGACCGCGGCCGACAGCTTTACCACCACTTCTGCCCGATGGCGAGACTTGATTGCCGATCGGTTTAGTGCCCGGTACTTCAACCGAGTTGCAATTTCATTCCGTCGCTTCGTTTCAGGGGACAGTATTCTCCGTCCTCCAGAGCCTATCCGACGTTTTCGTGGTGGTTGGCCCTCCTCGTCCATCATGGAGTACGTACGGATAGGTTGTGGTGGGATCGCTCCCCGCTCTCGCAATTGCTGACGTTAAATGTCCGTGCACGTCGCGTGATGAATCGTGCTGGCTTTATTTGATCTGGTTCCGCGATACCCGAGTGAGCAAATTTAGGTGAGTAACGTCCGGAAGCCAGACTAGCTGACTCGCGACCCTGCGCCCGTTCACGGATGCGTGACCCATTCCGAACACAGTGTGAACTAACTAAATTCTGTCGATTGGGGGCAGCATTTAAAAAAAAATAACGTTTTTTTCCAGCGCTGCCCGTCCGATCAGCGCTGGAAAATGATACAAAATTCCAATTTTCAGTAAAACGATAGCACATCTGGAGCAAATATTTTTCTGGATGCTTTGACATATTATGTACTTTCAATCTAGTAATATATTTTGTATTAATTCGTTGTTTTGTTTTTTTACTTTTTGCAAATGATGTATTTTCCCTTTAACCCCTCTGTAATCTTCAATTTCTCTGAAGATCACTTCTGTGTAGATATTGAATAAGCTGGGTGAGAGTACACATCCCTGTCTCACGCCGTTCTTGATTTCAACAGTGGGAGAGAGTGTGTTGCCAATCTGTATTGCTGCTACTTGATCCCAGTACAGGTTTTCAATCAGTCGGACGTCTTTGCCGTCTAAACCGATTGCTTGCAAGCAGTCAATCATTGCTTTATGGTGAACTTTGTCAAATGCTTTTGCATAGTCAATGAAGCATACATGTACCTCAGTGTCTAGTTCTATGTGTCTTTCGCTTATTGATCTCATATTGATCATTGCTTCCCTTGTTCCGCTAGAAGGTCTAAATCCACATTGCTCCTTCCCAACTTCTCTGTTGATCTTGTTTTTAATACGCTCCAAGATGATCCGGAGTAACATTTTGACCACGTGACTCATCAGACTGATGGTTCTGAAGTCTGTGCAATCCATGGCTTTCATTTTCTTCGGGATTGTCACAAAAATTGATTGTCTAAAGTCTTCTGGGATATGGCCCGTATTGTAGATGTTATTACACAGTTCTGTAAGTGTTTCTAGACTTTCTTTCTCAAGTGCTTTTAGCATCTCAGCGGTGATGCTGTCAGGTCCAGGAGCTTTTCCACATCTGAGTTGATTTATGGCATATTTGACCTCCTGTAGGAGGATCGGTGAGCCATCCTCATTATTGATGGTGGGTTTTGGTTCTCTCTCATCACCGAACAGCTCAGTCACATATTCAACCCATCTGCTTGATATTTCTTGTTGGTCAAAGATGATGCTTCCCTCTTTACTTCTTATGCAGCCAGTTCCTTTGTTTGTTGGTTTTGTGTTTGTCAGCTCTTTGATCCTGTCATACATTTCTTTTGTTTGATGCTTTCTATCCAGGGTTTCGATCTCCTTGCATTTCCTTTGCAGCCATGCCTCCTTTCTCTTTCGGCACTCTTTCTGAATCTGTTTGTTAATTGAGTGATATTCCGCTGTGTTTTTCTTCTTTTTCCTTTCGGTCATGAGTTTTAGGATATGATCTGTCATCCATGGTTGCTTGGCCTTTCTTTCCTTTCGGTGAAGAGTTTCCTCGTTGGCATGTTGTATACTTTCTTTTATGTTTTTCCATTGTGCCTCTATCCTGTCTACGTCGCTTTCATGTTGTTCGGTGTCTTCCTTTAGCAGTGTCTCAAATCTGTTCTGCACCTCAACTGCGTATGAATGCCGCATGTCTGGTTGTTGAAGAGTAGATAGATCATATTTCTTTGTGACATAGTTTGGATTTTGTGTTTTCTTCGCTTTCAATGCAATTGTCGCCACTACTGGGTTGTGGTCTGAGTAGATGTCTGCTCCAGGGTATGTCTTTACCTGTTTGAAGCTGTTTTTAAATCTGCCTCTGATCATGATGAAGTCTATCTGGTTCCGGTATTTACTCAGAAAAACGAAATGATGATGTTATATTTTTCTTATTGGGTGTGAGTTGAATTCATTACGTGTTTGCATACAAAATGTGTTCATATGTAGATTTGTGGCGAATAGATTTTTAGCATTGACAAAGGCTGAAACCTTGCATCTAAAGAAAGAGTTGCACGCAGCTGGGCTGGTGTAGTGTGAATTTCGGACAATCAAATACTGATTTACTGGGTAGTATTGCGCATGCGTACGTGAGGAAAGTGAACGTTGAACCAATGAAACGTTAAAAGGCACCGGATTTCATGGGAGTCCAAATTTCATGTGACACTGGAAAAGTGTTTAGGACCAGCTAGCCATGTCTTTATCATCCTTTTAAGACCGACCACGTGACGGGCTCTCGACCAATAGGAATGCGTAAACTGTCTTAGGTATTTATGAATAGTTGATAATAATGATGATGTTGATGAGGGGGGGGGGGGTGGTGGGGATGATGGGAATGATGATGAACAGGTGACGTGCTCCTATCTGCAAACAGGGGGGGGGGGGGAGGACTTTTTTGTAGTTTGAGAAAAGTTCGTTTTGACTTGGACGGATAACGATGATGAGCTTTACATTTTTTGTTTTCCGCAATTTAGTCTTGGCTGAATTCATTAAGTGTATGCAGACAAAATAACCCTGTACATATGTAGAATAAATTTGTAGCATTGACAAATGCTACAACCTTGCATCAGAAGTAATGGTTAAATGACTAACGGAATAACCCTTTACTACTTTATATTACATATGCGTATACTGGTTTAAAAAAAATATTTGTTTTAAAATATTTTATTTGTAAAGTGAGGGTTGTATAGTACAAAGTTCGTGGCCTCTCTGAATGTTTTTATCATAATCTAGTTTTAATACTTTAACAGCTAAAATGCTTCTTTGTTTACCAGGCAGCTCTGTTTCTAATTATTATATAAACTTAAAATGTCAAACTTTAATCTTTTACGCAGAATTGTCGACTAGTTTTGTATAACCAGTGGTTTTTGCAGCTCAAATTGCATGGTACTAAATAGTGAATTTTAAGAGCAATATCGGGACGTTGATGAAAGAAAAACTGAGACGGAGAAAAGAGGCTCAATCGGGATAAAACAAATATATATTGCGACAGGCAAACAAAAAGCCTGGCTACACACCTGGTATTCGTAACTTTTTTTTCATAATCTAGTTTGAATACTAATAGCTAAAAGGGTAAAATTTCAACTAGTAATAAGAGAAGTGTCTGATGTTTCTTTTTATTTTTTTTATTTCAAATACTTAATGGAGAAAACACTAATCTTGTACACACAGTTTTCGATTTGTGTTTTGCAGTGGTTTTTTGTAGAACAAATTAAAGAGTGCTAAATAGTGGGTAAAAGACGCACACAAGCTTAAAAAAAATCTCATATTTAAGATCTTACCTTGGGTTTAGTTCATGAATGATTAACGTATTGATGAACAAATGACGCCTCCATAGGAAAGAAAACGAAAGAAAATAAGAACATACGGTTTGGTATCAGTTTTGTATTTACTTAGAAAAACAAAATGATGACGTTATATTTTTCTTATTGGGAGTTGGTTAAATTCATTAAGTGTTTGCATACAAACTGTGTACAAAATGTACTGTACATTTGTGGTGAAAAGATTTTTAGCATTGACAAAGGCTAAAACCTTGAGTCTGAAGAAAGAGTTACATGACTTATGGAATAACATTTTGCTATGTTATATTGAATATGTATATTTGTTTTACGCAACGTATAGTGATTATATGATGACAATAATTAGAAAGTTGAATTTAGTCGCTGAGAATCTCTTTATCATTAGTACGTTTCAGTACTTTCATAAGGAAAAGTGAGTAGTAATGCATGTAGTGAGAAAGGTGTCTAATGACTCAGTGTACAATGACTCTGCTTTTAGTTATTTCAAGTACTTGTCTTAATGAGGTTTACATTAATGTTTTACTCATTATTGTCAAACGTACTTTTGTAAAGGCAATATTTTTATAGTTCAAATTTAATGGTGCAAAGTAGTGGGTTAGATGAAAACAAAATAGCTTAAAGAAAGACGTATAAGTATGTTGCCTCGTAAATGTCTAGAGGATGTGGTGCTTGTTTTTATTTTTAAAAAAAATACGCTTCAGCTGGATTGCAGGTCGCACGCATAAGGAAGTAATAGTGGGGAATAGTCACGATTGTTAAGTTTGTTAAATTAAACTATGACGATAAATATCCTAGGCCAATTTCCCTAAATTTCGTCATATTTCAAATTTGTGTCACTAATCTTCAGTCATTAAATGGAATAATAGACGAATTGAATTGAACAGAACTCAACGATTTCTTATTGCTCTTCTTGTTAAAGTTATGTGCATTATAATGATACATAATTATTGATTTAAGAAATGTGAAAACCACTTTGTCCGCCTGGTGGCTCAGCTTGCCCAGCCCGCGTGATTCAGCCCGCGAATCGGCCCACTATTTGTTGGATGTTACCCGGAATCACATTTTTATCCTGGACAGTTTCAAAATAGAAAATGACTCAAATGTTTGGACCCCAGTTGTGTATATTTCCAATGGGGCCGCTTACGCTTTCGCCTCACGGCCCTTATTTTCATAAATTATCATTCTCGGTTGAACAGGTCTATTGTGAGATACAAACGTGGACGTACTTACGTTCGTGGTGGGTGAAGCTTAGGGGCGGAGCAAGCAAATCAGAGCTTTTCATTGGCTTGGACCAAACGACTGTTTTCGTGTATGTGCAAAACGCATGAACACTAGTAATGCTCTCGTTTACTCGTTTATCCGACCATCTGAACTGTGAACCCATTTCCTGTTAGAAACAACAACCTATGAAGAAATACATACACCACTCAGTGCATGTGGTTTTGAAAGTAAAAGGATTGAGGATGTACGATACAATGACGTTGTGGTACTTCCCCGCAAGAATTTTTGCGAAACAGAAATTCAGGGGCTAAACGGGAACTGAAATGTGAATAGTAAGTCCATTAATGTGCCTGTCTACACCGTATAGGCGCACATTCAGACGGATTCACCAATATGGCGCAGTTCGTAGTGAGTTTTATGCGGCAGCGTAGAACCTGTTCTGGTTCTCTGGGAATATTTTGGTTAGGCATGGCTCTACTTTGTAGCCTGTCCGTGTGTCTTGCTGCGACAGAAGACGAAAATGCTTGCAAAATCTGCTACTGCTATAAGACACAAGTGAATTGCATTGGGAGAAATCTGTCATCTGTTCCATCAGGGATACCACACGGCACAAAGGGGCTGTAAGTTGAAGTTCGTTTTCTGCGGTTTGGGCTTTGCACAAAGGTTTTCGGGAAAAAAATCCAAACTGGGCCACCACTCATATTCCTTAATATGACATGAGAGGTACCGAAAGTTGTAAATCTGATGAAGAAACACTGTTTAAGGAGTGCAAAAAATATTTGATAATACTTTAAATTGTTCTGTCATGGTCCATAGACTTTGTGCAAGAGCTGTGAGTGGTGGCCCAGTATGGATTTTTTTTCCAGGTTTTCCAATCATTCATG